GCAACAGATGGAGAACATTTAGTTACCGGATGAAAAAACGCATTCGCTGGCAAATGTTTGTCAATGAAAGTACATATTAATGAGAAGCGTATGTGTATAATTTATATCCAAGGCAGATAAATATCCATAAATATATATATATATATATATATATATATAAGGAGTAATTGACAAATTTCTGGTAATTCGGCTGTAATTTATTTTTCGATTCAAGTTTTATATAATTTATGCTCTTAAATCATAGATGCCGTAGTAATAAGTTAGGACTATAATCGCAAATACTATGAACCAGATCTGATGATATGATGGATTTGGAAATAATTTCCAGACTGATCTCATGAAGGCTTAGGATCTGGGAAAACTGTGCGTCCAACCTCAAGCAAAATTGTATGATGTACTTCAATGATCGCAGAATGTAGTGAGGCTGTGCTCAATTCGATATTCACCCAAAGGAATATAAAACTATAAGTAAGTTCTTGCCTTAAAGCATAGGAGAACACGATCAATAGGGATGTTAGGACATATTGGTCAGAAGAAAAATGAAACAGGAGATTTTCTAGCCGCAGAAGGACTTGTTCATCCTTGGGATTGTGTGGCACACTGAACATATAAAACCTCTTCAAAGGCGGAAAGGAAAATCCACTAATACTAGGAAGGATTATACGGGTTTACCTATGTAACTGTACGGATATATCTTAGATTCCCAGCTAGATCAAGATGCTTAACTATTTCAAATGTGAGCTCTGTTACTGTTCTTGGACTTCATTTATCTTATTTATACAGGGTGGCGCATCGAAAACGAAACAGACGCGTTGGCTAGAATTTAAAGGTGGAACAAGAAAATTAAATTTATGTTGTGCAATTTATCACGCATAACATTAACGGAGCGCTATTCACGCCTTTCCATGAGACTTTTTGAGGGTAGCCAGTTGGAGAGTAACTGCCATTTTTTTTGAAACTGAGCTGCCAGTAAATGCGTCTGTTTCGTTTTCGATGCGCCACCCTGTATAACAAAAACTAAGACAATTGAAAAGAAGTGGAAAAAACACAACCACTCCCGGCACTCGCTATGAGGCAACTGAGCCACCAGCGAATGAGGAGCCTAGTCCGTTAGAGTACCACCTCGCGTTTTTGTGATCCCGATAGCAACTCGTCGCCTTCCAATTCTGAGAGAAAGGTCCGAAGGACAGTGTGATTTCAGAAACCTATAGACTCTGTGTCAGGATCGCAGGAACGACAAGAGTTGTTATCGATGCCATGGATTTGAATTTCGATCTTATCTCATATCAGGAACTCAGTACAATCTGCAAACCTCCTCGAGTATCTGTGATCCTGGTAGCAACTCCTGGCCCACCAATTTTACTAAAATATCCTGAACGATACTTCGGTTTTCAAGAGCCAATAGATCTGTAACAGGATCGCAGACACAGCAAGGGGCATCGACAACATGGATTTGAATTTCGTACCTTTTCATAGCAGGAACAAAGTGCCATTTGCAAACCTCCTCGCGTTTCTGTGATCCTGATAGCAACTCGTCGCCCTCCAATTTTACAAGAATAGTCCGAACGACAGTATCATTTTTAGTTTATAAACCTATAGATCTGTATGAGGATCGCAGAAACAGCAAGAGGTATAGATGCCACGGATTTGAATTCCGTGCTTCCCTCATAGCAGGAGCAGGGTGATATTTGTATACCTCCTCATGTTACTGTAAACCTGATAACAATTTTCCAATCTGCCAATTCGAAGCTGTGGTCTTCGGAGCGAGATTCAGAAACATATAGATCTGTACCAGGTTCGCAGAAACGACAAGGGTTATCGATGCAATGGATTTGAATATCGTTCTTATCTCATAGCAGGAACAAAGTACCATTTGCAAACCTTCTCGCGTTTCTGTGATCCTGATAGCAACTCGTCGTCCTCCAATTTTACGAGAATAGTCCGAACGACAGTATAATTTTTAGGTTATAAACTTATAGATCTGTATGAGGATCGCAGAAACAGCAAGAGGTATAGATGTCACGGATTTGAATTCCGTGCTTCCCTCATAGTAGGAGCAGGGTGATATTTGTATACCCCCTCATGTTACTGTAAACCTGATAACAATTTTCCAATCTGCCAATTCGAAGCTGTGGTCCTCGGAGCGAGATTCAGAAACATATAGATCTGTACCAGGATTGCAGATACAAGAGTTATCGATGTAATTCATTTGAATATCGTTCTTATCTCATAGCAGGAACAAAGTACCATTTGCAAACCTCCTCGCGTTTCGGTGATCCTGATAGCAACTCGTCGTCCTGCAATTTTACGAGAATAGTCCGAACGACAGTATCATTTTTAGTTTATAAACCTATAGATCTGTATGAGGAACGCAGATACAACAAGAGGTATAGATGTCACGGATTTGAATTCCGTGCTTCCCTCATAGCAGGAGCAGGGTGATATTTGTATACCTCCTCATGTTACTGTAAACCTGATAACAATTTTCCAATCTGCCAATTCGAAGCTGTGGTCTTCGGAGCGAGATTCAGAAACATATAGATCTGTACCAGGATCGCAGAAACGACAATAGTTATCGATGCAATGGATTTGAATATCGTTCTTATCTCATAGCAGGAACAAAGTACCATTTGCAAACCTCCTCGCGTTTCTGTGATCCTGATAGCATCGCGTCGTCCTCCAATTTTACGAGAATAGTCCGAACGACAGTATCATTTTTAGTTTATAAACCTATAGATCTGTATGAGGATCGCAGAAACAGCAAGAGGAATAGATGTCACGGATTTGAATTCCGTGCATGCCTCATAGCAGGAGCAGGGTGATATTTGTATAACTCCTCATGTTACTGTAAACCTGATAACAATTTTCCAATTTGCCAATTTGACGAAGAAGCTGTGGTCTTAGGAGCGAGATTCAGAAACATATAGATCTGTACCAGGATCTCAGAAACGACAAGAGTTATCGATGCAATGGATTTGAATATCGTTCTTATCTCATAGCAGGAACAAAGTACCAATTGCAAACCTCCTCGCGTTTCTGTGATCCTGATAGCATCTCGTCGTCCTCCAATTTTACGAGAATAGTCCGAACGACAGTATCATTTCTAGTTTATAAACCTATAGATCTGTATGAGGATCGCAGAAACAGCAAGAGGTATAGATGTCACGGATTTGAATTCCGTGCTTCCCACATAGCAGGAGCAGGGTGATATTTGTATACCTCCTCATGTTACTGTAAACCTGATAACAATTTTCCAATCTGCCAATTTGAAGCTGTGGTCTTCGGAGCGAGATTCAGAAACATATAGATCTGTACCAGGATCGCAGAAACGACAAGAGTTACCGATGCAATTTATTTGAATATCGTTCTTATCTCATAACAGGAACAAAGTACCAGTTGCAAACCTCCTCGCGTTCCTGTGATCCTGATAGCAAGTCGTCGTCCTCCAATTTTACGAGAATAGTCCGAACGACAGTATCATTTTTAGTTTAAAACCTATAGATCTGTATGAGGATCGCAGAAACAGCAAGAGGTATAGATGTCACGGATTTGAATTCCGTGCTTCCCTCATAGCAGGAGCAGGGTGATATTTGTATACCTCCTCATGTTACTGTAAACCTGATAACAATTTTCCAATCTGCCAATTTGACGAAGAAGCTGTGGTCTTCGGAGCGAGATTCAGAAACATCTAGATCTGTACCAGGTTCGCAGAAACGACAAGAGGTATCGATGCAATGGATATATCACATAGCAGGAACAAAGTACCATTTGCAAACCTCCTCGTGCTTTTACTAGAGAAGTCTGAACGGCACTGCCATTTTCCAGAAATCCAGAGATCAGTAGTAGGATCGCAGAAATGGCAAGAGGTACCAATGCCATGGATTTGAATTATGTTCTTATCTCGCCTTGCGAACCCTTTGTTGCGGGACAAAAAACCAGAAACAACGTGCGAATTTGACGTGAAGCCGCGAAGAATGCCCGATACCCGAATGGAATCCACACTCATGGGTCGCGGGTAGTTCGCAGATTCGAGCGCGAGAGTCTGGAGAGGTAATAAGCAAATTGATTACACTTGACCATTGATTCCCTAAGTGGTCTATATCGACCCCTAGGGGTCTATGACAACCTGAAAGGGGTCTACGTCAGCGAAAAAAAATTTGAGGGTCCATGAAATGAATATGGGGGTCCACGATAGTGGATCTCAACACATACACTGATAGTACCTATTTACTTACATCATACTATCTTATAATATCAAAACATATACATTATTTATAAAGGTACCTAGGAAGTAAAAAATTTATTATATATGTTTATAAAATTGTGTAAGTTGTAGGATGTTGGTATTCGCTTTGTGGTCTCAATACATTTTGAACTTGTAAAAACCTGAGAGTCGCAGTCTCAGAGCTTCGCTACCTTGCACTGACTTGTCCAATTCGTCATTCTATAAAAACGAATGTGGGGCAAATACGTTTATTCGTTTCGTAAATCTTGAAAAGGAAAGTGCTAAGAAAATATTTTAAAAAATACAAACAGATATCACACAAATTATAGTGAGTCAGTGTTATTTTGTTTGAGAGTGCTGGAGAAAAGTAAGTACATTATTTTTTATTAAATTTTAGTTTTGTACTCGTAGTTAGCAAAGATAGATAAATTACGCCAATCATGACTTTAGTTATTAGTAGTTAAAAATTCAATCATGCAAAATTACACTAGTACTCCTCTCTTTTTGAAAGTTTTAGCAATCGGTAATATAATTACAGTGCAATCTCCGTAATTCGAGCTAATTGTTGCAAGATGTTCGAATTATGGAATGTTTTCGGAAAAATCTAAAAATATTTTTAATATACAGCTGCTAGATTTTCTGTCTTATTTAAATAATTTAATTTTGCCCACAGATGACTGATGCCATGTCCGAATCTAAAAAGAAATGTAGACAGTACAGTGTTGATTATTTGAAATTTGGCTTCATTCCATCATTGCCGGACAAACAATCGCCTATGTGCCTTTTATGCAACAATGTTTTGGGCAATGACGCTATGAAACCATCTAAACTGCAAGATCATCTGAGAAGATGCCACCCTGATAAAACAGAGAAAGATTTGAAATACTTTCAAACACTCAAAGATAAATTTGAGAAGAGACCTACACTGGACAGAATGTTCGCTTCGACGTCACAAAGAAATGATGATGGTTTGCGGGCGTCTTACAATATCTCGTTACTTATAGCAAAATCCGGCAAACCGCATACTATCGGAGAGAAGTTAATTTTGCCAGCCGTTGAAGAGGTTTTAAAAACTGTTTTACACAAACCTGCATCTGATATCATTAAAAGAATTCCCTTAAGCAACAATACTGTTGAAAGATGTATTGATGAAATGAGTTCTGATATTGAAAGCTAATTATTTGCAAACGACCCATTTCTCTATACAACTGGACGAGTCAACTTTACCTGATAATGCAGCATTATTATTGGCATATGTTCGTTTTATTATGAATCAAGAAATCTACGAAGAACTGCTCTTCGCAAGAACTTTGGTAACCGACACTAAAGGTGAATCAATATATATTTCATGTTTTGAAGGATTACTTCTTTGAAAAAGCAATTCCTTTATCAAATATAGTATCAGTAGCTACAGATGGAGCGCCTGCCATGGTTGGACGTTATCGTGGTTTTATAAGCTATTTAAAACAAAATGTGTCAAGGGTGTTAGCAATACATTGCGTCATCCATCGACAACATTTGGTTGCTAAAAATTTGAGTGTTAGATTGCATGAATCACTTCATTTAGTCATTTATGCAGTAAACCGAATCCGAAGCAACGCGTTGAATACGCGGTTATTTGCGCAGTTGTGTGAAGAAAATGACGAACACTTTTATCAATTACTCCTTCACACTGAAGTACGCTGGCTGTCGAAAGGGTTATTTTTGACAAGATTTTTTGCACTTTTTGAGACTATTTTATAGTTTCTGGATACTAAAGATAAAATTTTAAAAGAAAATTTAATGAAGAGGAAAACAGACATCGCCTATTTAACAGAATTGTTTATAAAATTTAATATGGTTAATTTGCAATTACAAGGCGACAGTTTAAATTTGATTAAAACAAAGTCCATCTTATCAGCGTTTCTTGCCAGAGTTAAACTAATGAAGCAAAATATTGGACGGGGCGAATTTTCTCAGTTCCCCAATTTGTCACAGACAACCTGCCAGGAAGACGACGTTTCAACTTACGTTCAACATTTAAATGCCCTCTATTCAGATTTTTAATCTAGGTTTGAGGATATTTTGATTATGGTAATACCACCGTGCATAATTAATCCATACGGTGACATAGAAGAAACGAATGTCATAATACAAGAGGAACTGACTGAACTAAGTACAAACGAAGAACTTAAGGTTCAGTTTAAAAACGGATATCAGCAATTCTGGCTGCAATACAACATACCCGTTACTTATCCCATATTATGGAATATAGCGAGGAAATTTTTAATTTCCTTTCCATCGTCATACCTAGTGGAAAGGGGGTTCAGCGCTGTTACCAATCTCCTAACGAAAAAAAGAAACAGCCGAGGAGATTTAAGATTAACCCTTACAAAATTTATTATTAAAGTATCAGGTTCTTCCTTCTTACTAAAAATATTGACTTATTGCTTATGTTATTTTATTTATAGTTTATTTTATGTTTATTGGTGTCTGGCCAATAAATGCTCGCATTGGGAATAAGTGCCCGCATTGATTTTTTTAAAGAACCCCCCTTTATAGAAAATATTTTTTTTAAATTATTCTGAAAATTCAAGGATAGGTACACACTAAAATTCGTTAATTTTTTGCCTATTTTTAGATAACTTAAACGTATAAGAAGCGGAATTTAATCAAACTAACAGTGAAATTATTGTAGAACATACGTTTATGTTATAATTAATAAACGAACTCGCTTATTGTACTATTTTAAGTAAAACACTTTTTTTTTAATTATTTTTCACTTTTTTTTATTTTATCCCTCTTATTTTTTTTTCAATGCGGGCACTTATTGGTCAAATACCTGTTTATTTAATGTTACGTATATTTTACATAACAGATACAAAATTTTATTTTGAGTAGTTTTAATTTAAATTCAATTAATAAATGTATATATTAACATGTGTTTTTACTTTAAGTTTTTAACACTAAACTTCACTACAGTTAGAAATTTACAGGAAATCAATATCAGGTAAGTAGGGGGTCTACCCAACACAGAAAAACATGGCAATGGGTCTACGACACAAAACAGTTTGGGGAACTCTGCACTTGACCATCGATACTGAATAAGACGTAAATGCGTCGGAGGTACCGAATATCTGTATCAATCAAATAAATAATACGTATGGGCAATTCGATAGTCGATCGAAATCTGTCGGCCCACCGACGTGCCACCGATACGTCAACATCCTACATCTCTGTGTGAGCTGCCCTCCGGCCACCGAGGCGTTCCCAGCGCAACGAAATCTTTGCGGTTTCGTAATATAGTCGCCACTTTCGGAAAAAAGAGACCGACGGACAGCAACCAGCGTGCCACCGATGCATCGAAATTCCTCAGTGGATGCAGTCGCAAGGCCGGATACTGAGGTTTGGGAATCTCGCTATTTGCCTCTCACATGTCGGTATCGGGTTCTGTTCGAATAACCGGTAGTAACGCTGGTGGTGGCGATGTTATGATTCCTGTTCATGAGAAACGAGAATGTAATTGGAGTTTTATTAGTCGTAAATGTCCGTATTTTTCTTGTTTGACACGGTTGAAGAGCTTGTTGCGTTCCGTGCCAGAGGCGACTATTTAGCGCGAACACTTTTCATCCATTCATAATTGCACAAGCCGAAAGTAGTTTAGAGATGGGAGGTTTCGTCATCAATGTACCTTCTCGCGTACGAGGGGTACTACACAAAAATCGACCTAGCCATGAAACAAAAGAAGTACTTCTTTTATTTTTTAACATAATCAATCCTACAGCAATGCACGGCATCATTTCTGCTCCAGTGCCTCCTATTGACTCTCAAAAAACGCGGCGACGACTGCTTTCAGGCGAACTTATGAGCCAAAAAGGCATTCTTGAAGATGTTTGTTTAGTAATACAGGTTGTTCCTTAATGATATGCGAATATTTAAGGGTGTGAATCTACATGAAAAATTAATGTTAGTTGGCTTTATAAAGTATGGTCCAAAAATGTTTCCTTACAAAAACTCGGGGTGTTCAAGTTTTAGGAAAAAAATGGAAATTAATTAATATTTTCAGATCCGCTTCAGATATTTCACTGATAGTTAGTACGTAGTAAAAGTTAATAAAGTAGCATATTTTTCAATGCAAAAATAATTTTTAGCTTTAACAGTGCGTACAGAAAAAAATGGTACGCCAATGGTTTTGTGCCAAATAAAAATTATTTTTGAATTTCCCGTTCAATTTAAAACAAATGATTTCTCTTGAGTTGCTTTCTTTCTATGCGCCATTTTTGAGTTAAACAATAAAAACCGTTCTATTGTCCGAGAAAATTAATGTAATAATTGAAGAATGCAATTTAGCAATAAATATCTAAACTGTATCCATCGAAGAAACAAAGTAAAATCAAACATATACACCCGTATTGCACGTGATCAAGAACTTAACCGTAGGAGACGCTACAGGGCCGTATCAAGCTATTGTGACTGATCTATCAAAAAATGTCGTACAAGATATGTGTTGCTGTAAATTCTATCAAAAGCATAGTAAATTATCAGGAATATACCGCGCCTTTCTAATCACATTTCGACATTAGGAATCAGTGCAAAAAATTCTGTATTCACCATTTCAGCCAAATGTTACTAAAACGCACACGAAAAAAACTTGTGGACCATCTCAATTGAAATTGTTCATATTTTATTATTAACTTACATATATACCCAATAATATTTACAAATCAACCTTCTATTCACAATGTAGAGCAAATTTTTTTGAGCAAATAGAAACTACAGACGTAGTAGTAGTAGTACAAAAGTTTATTACAGACTCCATAAAGTTTGTTAGTTTGATTGCTATTAAAATTTACATGAGAAATAGGAAGAAGGTCAAAATGGCACTATTATGCTTTGGAACTCCTAAATTAACCCTAATTTTGTGTAATTATAAATTTGGAATTTCCACATTTATAACTAGAAACTTACACTTTGATTGCAGTCTGTAATGAACTTACCTGTCTTGCCAAAAAGCCCGTTAATCTGCCAGTCTTAATGGTATCAATCGATTTATATGCTGTATTCCGAGGAGCTTGAATCATCAGAATTGTTGATGTCAATTATAAGGGGTTCAACTTGGGTGTCAATGATATTGTCCATATTCCACATTTTGGTTTCAACCTTCTCTTGGACATGGTCAATACATGTTCTCCATTTTGCTGGCGTAATTCTATCGACAGCAACATCAAACAGTTTTTTAAGGTCAGAAAACTTAAAAGTGCTGTTATTTGACAACAACAACAACAATTTTTAAATCATATTAAAACTTACGTCGCTTGACTATATTTATCAGCTCAGCTTTGACCATTGTTTGGTCGAAGTCGATCTTCTTTGAGACAAGCGACTGTTGAATGTCTGCCTTTTTGGTGGCCATTGTTGGAATTTTTTCCAATTTTCTGGAGTGGTACGGGGCATTATCCATCACAATAATTGCGTTATCATCAAGTGTCGGCAACATTTTTTTGAACCAATTTTCAAATGAGTTACCATCCATTTCTTCGTGATAGTCTCCAGTTTTTTTGGATTCAAATGCCCACAATGCTTCAGGAACAAATCCATTTACGCTACCTATGTGGCAAATGATCAGGCGTTTTCCCTTGCCTGAAAGTAATTAGTTATTTTACTTCTCAGCGGGCGCACTAAATGACGAAATTAAGCAACTTACTCTTTTTAGGTTAGTGTAGGATAGGGTCTTAGATTAGTTTTTGGGTGAAGGAAATACTCAGAAACTTGGATGAGATAGCAAAACTGAGTTCGGAGCTTCCAAATCATTGATTCGATCAGAAAATGAATTATCTGCATCCAAAAAAGTTCATATACTTCGAAACTTACCTGCAGGATTTTTGAATCCCGTCGAAAGGCCATCTAAAAAAGCCTGCCTTGAGGACCTCACAGATCTGTCTACCCAAACCTTTCCCTGTATGCGTATGCCCCGCGTTCACCCATGTTTCGTCTAAATAATAAATTTTTCTTCCTTCAGCGCGGAATTGCCTAATTTTTCGAAGGTATTCTCTCCTCCAGATAACAATTTCCTCCTTTTCTATCAATAAACTATTCCTTCCTCTTTTCAAAAATCGAAAGTATAGTTCTTTCAACAGCTTATGGAACGTAGATCTTTTAAAATTTGGCAGGTCCTCATCATCATTCACTTGCTTCAAT